TTTGACCAACGGTTGCTGTTATGTGCCATCAAGTCATCTGTGAACGCCTTCCAAAAAGTCTCGCCCTCGACAGCCCTGCTCAGCTCTTGTCAACTCGAGATCATGGCTTCTTTTATGAAATTGAGTCATCTCCTAGTTAGCAGTCCTTTTCTTTTGTTTTCAACCTGCCTTGCATTTTCGTCTTCTCTGGGGAGTCTTGTCTTCTCATGATGTGCCCGAAGAATGACAGCTTCAGCTTTGTCGTTTTTGCTTCCGGGGAAAGCGCTGGCTTGCTTTGCTCGAAGACCCCCTTCTTTGTCTTTCTGCTGGTCCAGAGCATTTGCAGACATCTCCTCCAGCACCATGTTTCAAACACATCAGTTCTCCTCCTGTCAGCTTTCTTCACTGTCCAGCGTTCACACGCACACACACAATCCTGCATGTAGATGCAATTCGGCATCCTTTGGTTAAAGCATCTCAAACCGTGCGACTCGGCTGAACCCAAAGTCAGGGCCACTAGTCCCTCTTGCTCAGTCTCTCCAAGGACTGAGCTCGCAGGCCCTCCCTTCAGAAATCCTTTGATAACCAAAGATGCTCAGCTTTGAACCCGGACCTTTCAGTCCCGGGCATGCAGGGAGGGGAAATGTTTCTTCAGTGCACGTGCTGAGCTGGTTGAGCCTGGGTTTCAGAGCAGAGGCTGCTGGTTGCATTCCCAGTGGGGCAGTGGCTTTAGCTTGGACCTGGGAGGAGCTCTCCACGGTATCGCTCACAGCAGAAACTGGTTCAGCACCACAGACAGGTCCTCCACAGTTCAGGCTGAAGCCTGGAGCAGATGTACACCCCACGGACACTGCAGGGGCCTCCCTGGATTCTGAGAGGCAGGCCAAGAGCAGATGCTCAAGGCAGCAGTTCCGTGTAGCCACACCTTGCTCTTTCCTGGCCGTGCCATGGGACCCCAGATCCTTGGGAGCCGCTCTCTCACATCCTCTTTCTCCGACAGGCTGTGGACTTCCTAGTTGTGCCCAAGCACCAAAGGTTCCCCACCTGTGCATAAGGAGATGTGCTTCTTAATTTTAAAAAAACAACCACCCTGTACTGGCAGCGTTGCTCTCGAATCCTCCTTAGGTCAGGTCGCAAAGCCCGTGGTGTGGCCACGGTCCACCAGCTGAAAAGCGGCACCAGGCTCTTTGCGCTGCCATTCCTCCCAAAGCAGGGCGGCGACCAAAAACCTCTGGCTGGTGGCTCTTGGGGAGGCAACCCAGAGGCCCGAAGCTTCACCGTGATGCCAATCCCACATTGTGAGAGAGAACCAAGATTAGGGGAGGACGTGGCCTCTTCACCCTGGCGGGAAGCATCGGAGCTGATGGGTTCCCCTGTCATGGCACTTTTGCCGCTGCAAGCGCGGCACCCACCGCAAAACTGTGCAGGCACACTAACAGACAACACTAGGACCCCCCTCTGATGAAGAAGCCCACAGACCCTCCCGGCCTCCTGCAGCCTCCTTCCATCCCCTGGGCCAGAACAGAGTTCCTGCGCGCAGGCTGAAACGCCTGGCTCGTTCAATCCCCGAACTGCGGCTGCAGCCGTTCACTGTCCTGGGCGGGACCCCTTTTGCTTGGGCAGCACGGCTGTGTGGAGGTGGACTGTGTGTGTGTGTGTGTGAGTGAGTGAGTGGGGAGAGCGGGGCTGCAGAAATCAGGGCTGGGATATGGGGCGGGGGAGACCGTGATGGTTTGCAAGAGTTGGAGGGGCTGCACGGCAGCAACGGGGGCGGGGGGAGAACCCCACGGTTGGAGTAAAAAGGATAAAGAAGCTGAATCGCAATCTGGCTGGCTCACCGTGCTCCACTGCGGAGATCTTAGTGGAAGTGGAAGGGGCCTATAAGGCCGTCAGGTCCAGCCCTGGCTCAGTGCGGAACCCCAAGGTCAAGCATCCCCCTCTGCTGACTGTTCAGAGGCCTCCTGAACACCTCCAGTGTGGGGTGCCCACCACCTCCCTAGGCCCACCACTGCTCCGCTCTAACAGTCAGGGAAATTCTCCTGACGGCTGGCCAGAATCCGGCTGCCTGCCACTTAAGCCCATTATTCTGTGTCCTCGGCAGATCCATGCACGCATCATCGCCTGCTCTCTTAGCCAGTCTGCTCCAGCGCCTTTCTGAGGGCCATCAGACACGTGGCCCGGGCTTTTCCTGGCGTCCTGCAGCTTTTCCCACCCGGGTGCCCTCAGATGCACTGGATGACAGCTCCCAAAACGCCCACTATCATTTTAAATCCTGAACCCTTCCTGGCAGCGCCCGCCAGAGTCCGGCAGGTGCGCTTCCAGAGGGCGGGCCCTCTGCAGCCCGAAGGCAGGCAAGCGAGAAGGGCCGGCGGCACAGAGAGGCCAGAGCCGGGGGGCTGCGTGGCTGGGCTGGGGAGGGAGAATCCCACGGGGGGGGGGGGGGCGACGACTAATGGCAACGAAAGAGGCCGCACCGCAAGCACACCCCCTGCCTGCTCCTCCCCTGGGATCACGCCGGTGTGTGGCCAGTGCGTGGTAGCCAAAGCAGTGCGAGCGGCTGCGCCCGGCCCTGCCGCCTTCCGCCTGGCGGCCTTCTGGGCACCGGAAGAGGCAGGATGCTTTGGCCGACGCTCTTCTTGCTTTTCTGGTCAGTTGGCAGCCTGGAGGGAGGGTGGCACCCGCAGGCCGCTCCCTGCCCCGCATGTGCGCTTAGTCCGCAATGGCAGTTCCAGGAGGCCTCGTCCTTTTGGGAACATGAATCAACGGGAGGTGGCCTAGGCTGCCGCAGACTGGGGTGGGTGGGTGGGCAAAGCAAGTCGCATTCCGCACCCCCCATGCTCAACACTCTGCCTTATGTTACGTCAGCCCGACCCATCGTGACCCCATGGACGACATGCCTCCGGGCTCGCCTGTCCTCCTCCAGCCCCGAGCCCAGCTAAACCAGCGCGAAACCTCAGAAGGGGCCGCAGCGGCCTAAGGCAACCCAACAGGACCGGCCCCACCCGCAGATTCTTTGCCTTGCTGTGGTTCTCCAACAGGTTGAGATGCTGTCCTAAGCTTTGCTTCTCGCAAAACTCGGCCTGGAAGTTTGGTACTTGGGGACCCACCCCGTTTATCCAGGGACATGTTCCCTTTCCTTCGGTGCCGGCCACATTGGAATGTGATTCTGGAGAACTTCTCTGGGGTGCAGTCTGGCCTTCAGGCTGAAAGGGGTCCAACACTCTGTTTTGATTTTTTTAGCTTATAAGGACAGGCTTCTGTGGCTCCCCCTTTCGCCTGGCTCACACTGGCCGCCTACGCTTTCATTATGCATTCTGTGCGGCACAGACTTCCAGGAGAGGAGCCCCAAAATACACGGATGCATCTTGCTCTTGGGGCGGGGACAGGCCGTGCACAAGGCCTCCCACTTCTGTGGGCAGGCCTGGGAGGAGCAGGGAAGGCGGCAGCGAGCGAGACGGGGCAAGGCGGGCTCCGGTGCCCCTCCAGGCCCTCTCCTTTCAGCACGGCCCATGCAAGGGCCCTCCGCAGTGAGTCGCCCGTGTTCATGTTGGGTTGCTCTTTGGCATTTCCACTTTTCCCCCCCCCCCCCCCCCCCCCGACTCGGCAGCATGCCCTGGATGGGAATCCAGCGGGATGGAGTGGATCACACCTCGACATCTGCTTGGACTGGGCGTCTGTGCGGTCGTGCGAGGCGACGGCCAGGTGACATGACTCCAAGGTCAGCGCAGGTTATCTTGCAAGCCTTTTGCTTTCCATTTCTTTCTGAGTTGGCTTCGCAACTGCTGCTCTGCTTGTTGTTCAGCCAAGACACGCCTCAACGCTATCGCGGAAGAGGATTTCAGAGAAAAGATGGAACTTGGCCCCGGTCCCACCGGCATGTTTCCGATAACAGCCTGTAAACCCTCTTCAGCCAGAGGCCGGGTAATGGGATTTTGCTTGGCTGCTGGCCTGCGCCTGGAAGGTTCGGACTTTTTTAGCTCGAGCTCGAGGGCTAAACCTCATTTCGGAGAAGTCCTAGGGGGCGGAGCATCCCCAGGGTGGATGGGACCCAAGGCAAAGGAGGCAGGGCCAACATCCCAACTTATTTTAAAGTGCTCCCTTCCAGTAAGGAAGGGAAGCCATTTCAGTCTTTTAGAATGGAAGGAGATGGCACAAATGCTAGGAAAGAGCCACATGCCTGCTGGAAGGGGAAGGGGAAGGGGCATGGTGGGGGTATTCCAGAGGACCGGGTGGGGATTCCAAGGGGGCTGGTTTGGGGCTCCAGGTCTGCAGACTTCCACCCCTGGTTGTATAATGCCCTCTTCCTTACCCAGCCTTATCATGTCAGATGTTTAGTCAGCCCAGGCCAATTCGTTAAGGACTCCCTGCTCAGCTGAGGGCCTTCTGGCTGGAGGAAAACAGAAGTTGAAGACTTCACGCAAGGCCTTCTTTGAACAGACTTGGGAGAAAAAGAGAGTCCAGCTCGCACTTGGATGCAACGCCGTCCTTCCGGACCAAGCCAGTGCACCTCATCTCCTTTAAACATTAAAATTTGCACTTCTCTTGAACTTTGCGATGGAAGTCCCCAGTCAAAAATGTGTGCGGAAGTACTGCTGGAATGTGGGGGCAAAAACACATATATGCTAAGTGAACACAAGGTTCTAGGAACTCGTGTTTGGAAACCTGCTTCAAAAAGTGTGCATTAGGTACAGAAATGCATCGGAATGTTAATGTAGTTTTTTAAAAAAAATCTCTCAACTTAAGGGACAAACCAAGCTTGTTGGCAAAATAAGAAGCTACGCGAAACTGAGAGAGACAGCCAGAGTGAATGGACGTCTCTGGGTTCCGCAGCCAGGCCCCGTTCGGCCCAGCAGTTCTACGGGGACGCAGCCTTTGATTTCTCCAATGGCGTTTTGGATTTCTCTGTGCAGCCAGCAAGAATCCAAGCTGTTTTAAAGAGGCCCTTCTCCCCCCCCCCCCCCCCCGCAGTAGAGCACTTACTGTTACAACCTCAGGGAACAGCCAAGTAGAGAGAACTAAAATCCATTAAAAATGACATTTATTTTGGCCTCCTGCGTGCAGGGAGGGGTGGATATTCCTTCCCTGACTGTTTGCTTTGAAAGCCGGGCTTCTTAAAGGCACAAGGTTGTCTAAATAAATAGCAGGCATTGTTGGCTTAGCCCTTGCAAGAACTTTGCTTTTTTGAAAAACAAAGGGTTAGAAAGCCAGAGTTAAATTGCTTCTGCTTATGAGAGAAAGGGGTGGGGGAAAAGGGTGGGGGCCACAACTGAACTGCCCCCCCCCCGCCTTCGTTCCGCTGCGCTGGTTTCCTGGACGCTTCACCACGGTTCCCTTCGCATGCTTTTGCTCGGGCCCTAAGAAGAGAGGAAAGGCGCAGGAAGGAGACTTCGGGGCAGGCCTCGCAGCAGGCGGCTTAGGAGTACAAGCCGCCTGGGGGCACAGGGCTCCTGGCCCGCAGCCCCCGGCCCCCTCCTGTCTCCAGCCCCACCCGTCCAAGCCATGCTGCTCCTGTGCATGGTCGCAAGCAGGCGCAAAGCCCTATTCAAGGGAGCCAAGTGTCCCTCCGCATGCACAAAGTGCCTTCTCACAGGTGAGCACCTCCCTCCTGGGTTCACACACACTGAGTCGCGGAGCAGAGCCCAGGGCTGGCGCCGGCACCCCCCCTTTGGAAATGCGGCACGGCTCTTGTCCCACCCGGGGGGGGGGCACGCCGTGTGAATGCTGCCCAGAAGAGGTGCAGGGGCCGTCGCTGAGGCTGCTTAGATGTACGGCTCCTGGGGGCACAGTGACTGCACCGCCAACAGGCAGGCGCTTGGGCATATGCAGAACGCCGATGCTGGAAGGCGGAGGCACTGCGAATGTCAGCAGCTCATCTTGGCTGCCTTTCCGAGGCGGCCGGATCCCCGACAGGGAGGCCGGCTGCTCAGGCAGATGCGCGAAGGGGGACCAGTGTCTCTGCTGGGTTCATGGAGCTCCCCCAGACTGGAGCTGGGGCACCCCAGGCCTACAGACCCAACCCCCCCCCCCCGAGATTTCTGTTCAACCCTCTAGGATTCCCCACATGGCTGCACCTGTCTGAGGGGCAGTTTCACAGCCTGTGTGCAGCTCCCCCGTTTTAAAAGCTTGGGACCCTTCTCTGGGGTTCTCAGAGCTACACCACCCTGCCTGTTGTTGCTTTTTCCCCTGGCACCCCTGGAACGTGGGCTCTGGGTGCTGCTGTGTGGAACTGGGTCCGTGGGGAGAAAGCAGGTCCCCAGCCGTTCCAGATGGAGGGCCCCTAACGCCACCAGGGAAAGCTACGCCAGCCAGATTTGAGGAGGGGTCTCAAGCTGCAGTTGTTCTGCAAAGTGCTCCTCGAAACGAACCCGAACGGTGAAAGAGCCCAGTCCCGGTGGCTGGTTTGCAGGGTTCAGTGAGGGGCTACTGTCTTGACGACGCAGGAAGGATTGCCGTTTCCCTTGCTGACGCACCGTGTGCCTGCTCACGCCCCCTGGAAAGACTGCAAGCATCCCCTGCGCCATGGCTCTCCAGCCCGGCCGATCAGATTCAGTGAGCAAAGCCACCCGGTCAGGAAGCAAAAGGAGCTCATGGGAACCTGGACAACCATGACCCCCCGACCCCCCGATGGCAGCCACGGCAGTGGGCACAATTTCCCCTCTCCAGCCCAGTCCAGAGCCTTTCCAGGCCTTCCGGCTTCAGGAGATCCTGCCCGCGAGAGTTCCTGGGCAAGTTGGTTCTGGAGTAACGGAAGGATGCTTCTGTCTTCCATCAAGTTTCCAAAACAGAACGCTGGCGCTGGCCTGGCCTGCCAATCTAACCGTGGCTGTCCGGGTGGAGGTGCGCCCTTGTGCCACGGAGCACCCGGCTCTCCATGGAGCTCCCTGCCTGGTTCCTGAACACCTTGGCCCAAAGCGCCTTCGTGGGCTCCTCCTCCCCAGCCTCCGCGGCAGAGTTTTGGATGCATGAAGGTTTCCGTCATAGTCAGGCACATTTCAGCCACCCCTGCAGGGGCTGCCTGAAAAGCCACCTGGCCCATTCGGGCTTGGCCTGCCGCCTCTTTTCTGCTCAGGCAGGCAGGTGAGAAGGGGCCATTCCATCCTGCCTCCTGGCTGGCCGGCCACGCTGACATTCCTGCACAGAGCCCGCTTCTCCTGCTGCCTTTTCAACAGCCCTGGGCCACTCCATTTGGGGAACAGTTGGGCAAGAGGCCATTTCCTCCTCTTGCCATGTTTGAAACCACATCTGAGTATTTCCTCCTGTACTTCAGGCAACTCTTTGGCTCTACACGTTGAGACACACCTGCTACAATCCAGAAAATGGCTCCTTTTGCTTGCTTCTAATGTTTAGAAATCTTATTGCTGAACTGTGTAAACGGTGGCACAAATATGGTGGATTCTTTTGTTTTAAAGGAGTCTGAAGAGCTACTCTGAAAAGAGCGAGTGCTTTGCAGTAGAATGTGGCCAGCCATCAGCTGCCATTCAGAGCCAGACTGTGCCCAAAACTGCAGTGAAATCCCCTTGCCCCCTTTACTGAAATGGCACTCGCTGGAAGCAATGGGGGCGGCGTGATTTCCCCGTACTTCCCTGCGTGTGCAGGCTCCAGGTGTTCCTTTTCGTTGTTTCCTGGCCTGCTCCTAGAGCTACTCAGAAGCAGAGCTTTATCCATGGCGTGTGGCCACCCCTGCCCTTGGAGCACATGCAGAGCCTTCTGGGTGGATCCGCGGCAAAGGCCCAGCCCAGTTCCTGCGAGCCCAGCCCGCTGCCAGCTGTGGGCTTCCTGCCACAAGCTGAGCTGGGTGCGCAATATGGAGCCGGTGGCACCGAGATCTCATTCTTTCCAGGCAGACTCCAAATGCTGTTCTGCAGCACCACAATACCACTCGCTTGTGCAACCACCTTCTCCTGGGTCACACGGGACAGGTACTGGGGGGAAGGGGTGCTGCGTGTGGCCTGGGTCGCTGCCCCGTCCTCCACTCTGGACCCCCATTCAGCGAAACATGTGAAAGGGTGCATCCACGTAGAGCCTGGATGTGCGTGGACCCCATCTGGGTTTTCCACGCACCCGTCACTGGAACACACGGCAAGGGCCACTGTGATCCTGCTCCTGCCCCGCACATTTGCTTGAACATCAGAAAAGGTGTGGGCCATGCATTACAAATGCCCCCTGCCCACCAAAAGGAGAAAGCTGGCCTTCCAGCAGCAGATCAGAAGCCAGGTGCTCTAAAGAGAACATGGAACTCCTGAGGAAATCAGCTGCCCCCGGGAAGGAGGAACTCCTCAAGAATTTTCCTGGGGCTCCAAGTCTGTTTGCCTCGCTTGCGCACTCGTTCCCAGGGCTGTCCCTCGCACGGAAGTTACCTGCTGGGGACAGCTGTGCAGCCAACCCTGGGAGAGCAGCTCCTGCCACTTGATGTACGTTTTGGCAGCCAAGTCCTTGAGCTCGGTCCGGTACATCAGGCAGGGGTCTTCTCTGATGCCAGCGCTGACGTGTTGCTGTAGGAGGGCGCAGAGCTGCTGGAGATGGCCCTGGGTGGGTGGGGCGGGTGGCCGGGGGTGGGACAACAAAAAGAAGCATGAGAGGCGAGCAGCGGCTGGTTGCTTCCTCCGGACAAAATCGCAACAGAGCAGATGCAACGCTGTGCCAGGGAAAGCCGCATTCTGCTCCAGCGCCCACCAGTCACGGGTCGTCTGCCCCTCTTGGCTGGCCTTGCAGAATCCCCTCTGCTTTTGCAGAACTGCAGAGGGCAATGAGGGGGCCCTTGAAAGGTGAAGCCCCCCTCTGAAATGCGGGGGAGGCAGGATCCGGCATCCTTCAGGCCATGTGTGCAGCTCGCCGGCTTTGTGCCATGCCTGGCCCCAGCCAGCACTGCACGGAGCAAGGGCTTTTTTGCCTCCGTGGGCCCCGCGAGCGACTTGGCGCCAGGGCATCTGCGAAGCCAGCGCTCTCCTCCAGACTCGATGTTGGGTGCAACACAGCTTCCCATGCCTCGCGGGGTGGCCAGAATGCGGCTCCCCGGATCAAGCGACACTCCCCCACCGCCCGGGTCCCCGACTCACCTGCTGTCTCAAAGGCACCGCCTCGGTTCCCACAACCACGTTGGCCAGGGTCAGGAGGCTGTAGCAGAAGTAGTAGGCCTGGAGGAGAGTGAGGAGGGGAGACGGGTCAGGCGGGACAAGGTGGAGGCGGATGTAATGCCCCATCCTGTCAGCCTTCTGGGGCCGGCCACTTATCAATCCTTCTCTGAGTGGGATCCACAGGTGGCCAACACAGCTCATACTGGGCAAGAGGAGAATGGTGGCCACATCAGTTCTGTCTGGAGCCAACTGCACGTGCCTACCGACCATCGCACCGCTGCCCGGCCTGTGAAAGGGCAAGCTGCTTGCCTGTAACGGTCATTCTTCAGGTGGCCACCTGTGCATTCACACGTACGGGCACACGGCTCCTGCATGTGTTGCACAGAGACCAAGAGGAAATGGCAGGCGTGGCTGTGTGCCACACACGGAGCGCACCCCTTGCGGGCCCCCAGTCCAGCCAGCTCTTTCTTCCCCGAACGCTTCCAGGTGAGCGCATCCTAGCAGCATCCCTCACAAAGCTTGTGCAGCAATGCCCCTCTGGACACAAGGACCCCTGAGTGCTCCAATTGGCACATGATGCCTTCCTCCGAGCGCCACTTCCAAGGGAGGGCTGGGAAGGGCATGTCCAGGGTAACCATCCTGCCTCCCACTGAGACCTGCCGGGCAACAGCCCCGTCATCTTCTCAGCTCATTCTCTGCTCCCGGGCATGTCGTTCAATTTCACGTCATTGTGTGTTTGCGCCAGCCGCCTTTTTAAACAGGCCTGGTGCTTTTACAGGAATGTTTTCCGCTGTTTGGATGGTTTTAAATCCTGCACACTGAAAAGTGAGATGGTGTGTTATCAGCTGGAATTGTAGGAATCGCTGTGAACTGGCTCAAGGACCTTCCACTCTTGGGTGGCGGAGGGATGGGATTACGTAAATAAGCGCCGGACTGTTATTCTGCCTTCCTCTTTTTTGTGTACTGAGAAGAAGGGTGGAGAAAGCGGTGGGAAGGCACAGGAGAGCGGTTTGTGGAGGGGAAAGTCCCTGGATGTCCCATGGCGGGCACAGCATTCCAGACTTGAGGAAGGGCAGGTGCTCAACAGAGGCCTGGTCTGGAGGCATCCCAGGCTCTCTTCCCAAGCAGCCACCAAACCGCTCCACGCAACAACAGCTGCCTGGGCAAACTCTCTGGCCTCGGAAGCCTCCTAGCTGTATGCCAGGATTCCAGTCCCTTGGCTCATCTCCGCTCATCTCCGCAGCCCCCCGTGCAGAGAACCTCTCAGCTGTTTCTGGTTTGAAAGACGGCAGCCAACGTAATTGCATGGCTACGAAGCAAAAGAGGATGACTCTCTCGGTTTAATAACAGATGTGTGGGCACAAAAAGTATCAGCGAAAAAGCCCTGACAATGGAATCACTGAACTGGGGAAGCTGAGCCGGCCCTGCAGGCCCTCCTGTCCAACTCCCATCTTGATGCAGCGACCCAGACCTGGAGCTGTTTGTTTAAAAATGGTATTTATTTAAAACAATAAAGATAGCAATGCAAAGCAAATAATCTTCTTTCTGGCATGTCGATTCAAACCAGTGTAAACAAGGAACAGGGTCTGAATCTCAGCCTGAAATGCATCATTCCAAATGGGATAAACTCTCCATTTCTCAGCAAACCTATTTTCATGTTTTTGCTTCCTGCTTGCCTGTCTGTCAGAGGTGAGGATCATGTGGCCCTCTGAATGCTGTTGGACTGCAATTCCCATCATCCTTCACCACCAGCTATGCAGTGACATCTGGATGTCCCCACTCCTGGTTTTATGTCATTGTAAGTGTAAGCATGATAGCAACGTCTGAAATGCCCCCAGACATGAGGCAATGGCGAGCTGGTGGTCCTTTCAGCAGAAGTGTCAGCTGCCCTGACAACCATCCACAAATCAAACATTTCCATGCAGCACTCAAAGGCATCCTTAACGCTACATGACCTGTCATAAAGTCAGTAAGGTCCAAGTCGAATTAGTCTTATGGAATGGCAAAATATACGCATACAAGCAGCACCTTGATTTCCACATCTCCAACTTCTGCGGCAAGCCTTACTTTACACCACTGCTGGTGCAATATTTCCAAGAATGTTTGCATTCAGCCCATTGCAATTGTACATTTCCATCAAACCGACTGCCAGACTTCTCCTTGTAACACCATTTGCAATTTCCCTTTCTGCTGGTGTCTAAGATGCCTTGCATGTCCGTTCTGTCAAAGCTCTAACTTCAAAAAAATCCTGCCACTCGAGCCCTTCCAAGTATCACTTCTCTGTTAGTGAGAGCTTCCCAAGAGGACCATAGTTCTATAAAAATGCAGAGATAACACAATCTAATCTGAAAACAAGCAAGGAAGCCCAGCCCAGCTCGATACTGCTCCAGCTGCCCAGTGGTCCTTCACATTCCACCTTCCCATTGACCCCCGGAGAGGGGAAAGCTCTGTTGACCTGGCTCCTACCACCAAAATAAGTCAGCGGCGCTTATCAAATCGTCGCACGCGCTGGGTGCACGCGGAAAAATTACAGCCCAGGCGTGATTCGCTTCACCACCACATGCCCATGTGGCAGGGCTTGTCGGGGAGGGAAGCGCCCTCCTCACCAGCGACCGACCCACGTCGACCTAGTGAGCTTCACACTGGGCAGGGAGGGGAGCCCACCCGACGTCTTTGGACTGCCAGCCCAGCGCTCGAACCGCTACGCCACACTGCCTCTGGATTGGCTTTGCGCGGATCTAGCCCCTCCAGCTGCTCTCCACAGCTGCGGAGGCGAGCAGGGATGCACCAGACAGCACTGCGATGCCCCTTCCCGTGGTTGCTGCCTTGATTTTCTAGCTACTGCAAGGCTGCCTTCCGTTTCCAAATTCCGGAAGCGCGTAACCCTGTTAGTCTGCTGCAGCAGGAACTGCAAAGTATCACTTTAAAGATGAATAGATGTGTTGCGCACTTTGCAAGACGCATGAAGCACCAGCCTCCATGGGTGGATAGAGACATGGGCGCAGCAAGGGGCTGTTGGGAACAGGGGCCCAAAGGCCTTTCAGGGCAACCCAAACTTCTGGGCAAAGCTCAAAGCTCCAGGCACAGCACGGCGGCCACTGGCAAGGGGAACAGCGAGGGATAACGCAGCCTCGCTGGCTTCTGCTCTTATCTCGCAGACATAGGAGCCTAGCAGAGATTAGAAATGTCACAGACCCCCGTGCGCTTCCTGCCTTGCATGGCCTTTTGGCACCGCGGACGCCAGTTCCCATGCATGTGCTCCCGCCCGTGTGCGTGGGCTGCTGTCAACAGAGGATGCATTTCGCGGAACTGACACTTGTCCATGAAAGGTTGTGCTACAGCGGACCTGCCGGGAAACCCTTGATAGTTTTATCGGCACGATTGTGAGTCTTCATTCGAGCAGCTGGTAGCACTGCGGGGAAGGCTGTGGGGAAAGCGAGCTGGGAAAATGAGTCATGTCGAAGGGTTTTGGGGAAGCAAAGAGGGAAGGATTCCAAGTCACTGACACCAAGCACGCTCACATGCTGCAGACCTGGTAGTCAATTCTTTCTGGGAATTTCCTGATCTAGCCAGGTGAGGCCTGTCCCAATTCTTGCAAAATCCTTTGAAGAGTCTGCCTGGGCTGCTGATCTTTCCCCTTCAAGTAATCCAGTAGCCAAAAGGAAGGAGGAGGGAGGGGAGTTACACAGTCTTGCACAAGCTTGGCGGAAGAGGTCAGCCGGTAAAGGGGTTTGCAGGTAAGCTGTTTGCTGTGGGGACGCCAGTAAATTGCATTAAGAGATTGCCGGACAAACAGCTTAAGCTTCAGGTGGGGGTGGGAAAGAGGCCACCTTCGATTTTCCTGCCAAGTGCCAGGAGGCAGGGCAGGGCTGGCCGGCCCAGGCTGCCATCCCGATCTGGCTGTGTGCACAGGCTGCCCTTTCTTTCCTCTTAGAAGGACCCACAGCACAGATGCTCCTTGCTGTAGCACTCCAGCACTGCTGAAGAAACAAACCAGTCCTTGTTATACATCACGGGTTCAGACTTGGCCCCTGCAACTTTGGAAGGGGATGCAGCGTCCGTCAAGGACCTCGGCCTTTGGGAGCAGCTTTGGAAAATTCTTTACGGAATGGGGGGGCCCTTGCTGCGGAGATCAACAACTGTAAGGCAGCTGTGGAAACACCTGTTCCTTTTGTTGCTTGTGCAGAGTTTAAAACCTGGACGTTCTTTTGCAAGCAGGGGCTCGGCCTCTGACCAGGGGAAGGGGTAACGGAGATGCCAGTGCCTCCAAGGATCTGTTCACCTGCCCACTGAGTAAGCGCAGTCACCCACAAACATCTGGAAATGGGGGGCAGCTGTTGACCGCCAAGAGGGGACTGCCTGCATCAGAGCAGATGTGAGCTTCCCCGAGTCTCTTTGCAGAAGCAAACCCAGAGGCTGGCGTGCTCCAGACAGGCCTGCCGGCCTCTTTGCGCAACATCCCCCGTAAGCACAAACCTCAGCGCTCCCTTGCTTGTCACCTGGAAGCAAGGCAAGGAGCGCAATGATTCAGTGCCTCCTTGGCACGCGGCTCTCCCTTAAGGCTGCACGTCTGTTGGAGCTGTGCCTTCTTTCCTCTTCACATCTTCCTTCAGCCGGAAAAGGGAACAGGTCGGGAGCTGCCAACCCCGAGTGGCCGGGTTCAGGGATGCCGCCGTGCTTTCCAGGGGAAAGGCTGTACCTGGAGCCAGTCCAAGTAGGGGAAGCGGAGGACACAGGCGGAGAAGGCAAAGGCAGGCTCGGCAGCGACTGACTGCAAGGGCCATGGCTGACGAGGCGAGCCTTTGGGGGACTGCGTGTGAGAGAGAGATGTTAGAAGGTCATCCTTCAGCATTCATGCCAAGATCGGAATGGAGGAGAGCTGGCTGGTGGGGAGGGATGCTTTGCTCTTCCAGGCATTGATTGTCCTTCAGACACTCCCATGGCTGCTTTCACAAAGTTTTTGAGCCCCAGCTGAGCTCCAAAAGCAGAAGCAAGCCCAGCTCGGGCACAGAAGGCTTGGCTTGGCTTGGCATCCCTCTGTGCTATGCTCCTTCCTTTAA